CACACAGACAGTCATAACATGGAGTCCTTGTAGAGTCCTTGTACAGTCCTGCACGTAGGCCATATTGCTATCTAATACTAACACGATTACTCGATTAATCGTAAAAATAATCGATAGATTAATCGATTACAAAATAATCGTTAGTTGCAGCTCTACAATGGGGGCCGGTCCACCAGAGATCGCTTTGAAGTAATTTGCTCACAGAAATTCCTTTTGTCGCGAAATCTGCGGGATTTTCAGTGCCTTTGCAAAAATTCCAAAGAGAAGGTTCCGTTAAACTTTGAATTTCACGCACTCTATTTTGAACAAATGGTTTCCATTGTTTTGCAGAACTTTGATCCAGTGCAACGTTATCATCGAGTCAGTCCACATTGTTACTTGCGACATATTCAAGTCCAGGTTTTGAGTGACATAATGACTGAGCCTCGCGCCTATAACTGCGCCTAAAAGGTCGAGTCTTGGCAACGTAACCTTTTTTAACGGGGCCATGCGCGTCTTGGCTGTTATAAGAGAGACTGAACATTGTCCATCACAGTCTATGGCGCGCAGATATGCAGCGGCACAGTAAGCAAATTCGCTTGCATCAGTAAATACATGAACTTCTTTTTTAACAAATAAACTCTTATGTTTTAATGCTTCAATATTGTATCTGGGTATTTTCAAATGTCTGACTGCTGGCAGTTCTAAGCACCATTGTTGCCACGCGTTCAGGAGATCATTTGGCAGATCACAATCCCAATCTATGCCACGTTCCCACATTTGTTGAAACAAACATTTTACTCTGATCACGAAAGGTGACAAGAATCCAATGGGATCAAAGATTCGCGCAGCCGCTTGCAACACATCGCGTTTTGTGTTCTTTGTTTCTTGTAAAAATTCCATGACATGTTTAATATCAAACGTGAAAACATCTTCATTTGTTTCCCAACTGAGTCCAAGAACTTTTAGTCCATTTCCATTGACTTCAACATTTTCGTTTACAGACATGTCCATTGTTTTCATCCATGTGTGTTTTAATTCAGCAGAATTCGTGCTCCATTTCCGTAGATCCATGCCAGCAGAGTGTAAAATGTCTTTTGCGCGCACTGAGAAAGCATGAGCTTCAGCTACACTTTGTGCTCCAAATTAAATCATCAACATATAGGGATTTATTTAAAATAGATCTGACGCTTGGATCCGTTTGTTAAAACTTTTTAAGATGGTGTTTGATTGTAGCAGCTAACAGAAATGGACTCGGGGATGCACCGAACGGGACTCTGGTCATACGCATGACGCAAGGCTGTACAGTTACATTATTTGGACAATCATTTACCCACAGAAATCTCAACACATTTTTATTTATCAAAATTTGCTAAAATGCCTTAGAGATGTCTGCCATAAAGGCGATGGGATGTTGTCTAAATTTTAACAAAACACCAAGTAGGTCAGGATTTAAATTAGGGCCTGTCAAAAGGCAGTCATTGAGCGAAAGGCACTCGGGGGCATGAGAGGAGGCATCGAATACCACCCGAAGCCTCGTAGTTACGCGCTCTTCTTTAAATACCGCACTATGTGGCATGTAATATACATTTGTCTCATTATCATCACTTTTTACCGGCTCTACTATTCCTTGTTTTACATAGTCTTGAATAACTGCATTATAATCGTCATAAAGACAAACATTGCGCCTAAATTTTTTAATCAAGTGATCAAAGTGCGCCTTTGCAATTTCATAATTGGCCGATAGTTCTTTTTCAATTTTCCACGGCAAAGACACTTTGTAACGTCCGTCTTTATATTGTATGGAATTTTCAAACATTTTTATTGCATCATCAATTTTGGATTCCCTTTCCATGGCAATTCCGATTGATTCTAGCTCGCAAAAAGAGCGTAAAGTGTGATTCATTTCATTTTCAAGTCCCACGCTCACGTGCAGTGTTTGCATTTCATCTCGTTCATATGATACTGTATTGGACATAACTGTGCCTTTGATGAGCCATCCGAATTTGCTTTGAAGTGCAACCATTTTCTTTGACAGTCGTTCAACTTTCCCTGAAACAATGTCCCAATAATTGACTCCTCCAATTAACACTCCGAGTTCCTCAGTCTCCATTCCACTCACCGCTTCATCTGCTAACTGCATGCCTCTTTTATCCAGCTCTGCGCGCACCTCATCTCCAACTATTTGCATGATAGAAGTGCAAACACGGGGGGTTTCGAGCACACTGATTTCAATGCTTTGTCCGTTTCTTCTTCTGCTCAGTTTTATTTTTACAACATTGGGACCATCAGAACCAAATGTATGTAAATTCAGTGTCTCTTCCCCGATTTTGGGCAGGTTTAGGGCACGGGCGATGTCTTTACGCACGAAGCTGCGTTGGCTTCCTCCATCAAACAGGCAGCGAGTTAGTCGTCTTTTAGCAGTCGTTTCAATCCACACAGTGGCGGTTTGGAGCAGAACAGTTCCTCGTTTTGATTCACTCGGGGATATTGAAATAATTGTGTCTGTTGGATCATTTTCATGTCGGCTTTCGTTGTTTAGGGTGCACATTGATTTGAAATGACGACGATTACATCTTTCACAATTTATGCCTTTGGTTCGGCAATCTTTGGCAACATGTCTTGTTCCGAAACAAATAAAGCATCTTCCTTTTCCTTTTAATTTTTTACGTTTTTCTGGCACACTCATTTCATTGCATTCCTTTGAGACAAACTTCAATCTTTAAAAATTCAATCAATTCATTAATTTCCCAGACATCGTCCTTTGCAACATCTTTACTGAAATTTTAAATAATTTCCTCAGGGATCAACTTTGTTAAAATAGGACACAGTAAACTGCCGTAAGCCTCAGAAACAACTCCCATCGATGAAAGGCTTCGGATTTGTATTTCACAGTCGTCGTACAGGGTTCTGAGTGCTTTGACATCATTCACATTTTTCACAGGATTTAAATTGAGCAGTTTGTGCATTCATTATTAAATCTTTCCGTCCAAATCTGTTATGGAGTAATTCAGTGGCATTGTCATAGTTGGACTCTGATAAGGACAATCCCGCGTTGGCAGCTACACCTGCCAGGTATGATCTTAAATAGCTGAATTTGTCCGTTTTTGTTGGATTTGGATTTTTATGCACTGCGCTCTCAAACTGTTCCCAAAAATATTTCCATTTGCTTACATCACCGTAGAATTTGTCAATCACGAGTTTGGGCAACTTCACATTTTGGTACACAGGCTCTCCGTCATACATTGATGGACTTTCTGGTGGTTCTCTGAGAGCTCTTTTAATCTTTGTTTTCTTGCGTATTATGACTTCTTTGTACTCCTGTGATCTTGACACTTTCGACTTCCTCTACTGGAATAACACTTTCGACGTCTTCATCCATTTTCGTTAAACACTTTTCTTTATCAATTATGATTTCAAGCATTTCCTCCAGTTTAGCTTGATCAGGACTTTGTTTGCACATTTCTTCATCAATTTTACTTATCACTTTGCTGAGGGAGGTTCGGATGGACGCTCTTTTTCTTCAGACGTTCCAGTTCCATCTTGCTTTGTTCGTCCGCGCGGTCCTCTTCTGCAAACTATGGACTTTTCTTTGTTGTCCCGGGTTTTCGGCACCAAAATATTGCAATAATGACCCAAATTACTGACGAACACAAGGCAGGAGTGTCTTTTCTTATTTATTATAAATTTGACTTCTCTCAGTGAGCACGAGTCATTGTTCATTTCATTCACACACGTTCAAACAATCATTGATAAAAGGGAAAAAGGGCACCACCCACAACGGCCATTGGAAGGGGCCGACTGGGAGGAGCGCGTCTCTTGCTGTGAGGTGCGCTCAATTTGAGCGCCTAGATGGTAGTGCGTGCGGCGCATCCGGACAGCCGCAACATACAACCAGGATGTTAGATAGCGATGAATGGAGGCCAGCCCTTGTTCCTGGACCATGCGGCTGCATCACGTGGCTGAGCCAAACCCCTCCACAATCCAGCGTCTGGGAGCCACAGCCTAGCAACTTCTCCATGTTGAAGTTGGAGGCTATTGAAGAGTTGAGGAAGTCCTCTCTAACCTGGAGCTGCGGTTTGATTGTTCAGTACAGACACTCAGGCTGAGAGAGCATAGAGGTGATGTTCTCCCCACACAGCCTTCTTTGGAAGAGAGCTTCAAAATGGAGCTTTGAGAGTTTTGTCACTTCTTGGGCCGCCTCCCCCAAGTGCAGAGGCAGAGGTCTTATCAGAGCAGATACTCCCTACATGAGATTAATCTCAAAATATTTTGGACCCTGGGAGGAGATCCAGTGTGGACCAGCGGTGAGACCAATGCAGACCCGAGGAGAGACCATAGATTTAAGAGACCAGTGCATACCCAGGAGAGACCATGGACTGGGGAGACCAGCGCGGACCCATAATAGTTCAATGGGAGACACCAGCGCGGACCCGTAAAGATCCATGGGAGAGACCAGTGCAGACCTCTAATAGATCCATGGGAGAGACCAGTGCGGACCCGTATAGATCCGTGGGAGGGACCAGCGCGGACCTGTAATAGATCCATGAGAGAGACCAGCACGGACCAGCAGTATATACAGTATGCCATTGTTCTGTGGCCCGTGGGTGGAGAAATGCACCCTATAAATAGGATGGGGTCTCTATGATTTCCACTGTATTTTATAAAGCGTTGGCACATTTAATTAAAAAAACTAATTAAATAGGCTAAATTACCATTAGATAATGAAATGAATAAATACATACATCAATAGGACAGACATATCACTCTAATGTTGTAACTTATTTAACTTCACAAAAGAAAACAACACCAGCATTCCAACATGTCGGCACTGAATGTGCTTAAGAGTGCTCCTGAGCACTCGTAGGATTTGTTCTTACCTCAGAGTAATTCTGGATTCGAGAGAAATTCATGAATGCCACAATCTTCGTAAAACCCTGGTTCGTGAATGAGGCCCATTCTAGAGCTTCTGTAAAGAGACTATGCATCTTGGATGTCTTGTAAAACTTGTGCTCCTGTAGGCGCGGCACCGGAGCGTTCAAGTCGAGGGCGGGGCTTCCGGTGGAGGTGCCGGTCATCAACAGTAAGTACGGCCTGCGGGAGACAGACAAGAGGCTGAACCGACTGAAGAAACTCGGAGAGAAAGGCAGCTCTGACAGCCACTCTGTAGGCTCACACACAGACGTGGAGACTCAGGAAAACACACACACAGGTAAGATGCACGCACGCACATGCACACAAACACACACAAAACCATTCAGGATCAGGAAAACGCAGCACAGGGACTCAAGAAAACGCCCACAGACGTGGAGACTCAGGAAAACACACACCTCTACTTGTATTATATCAGTAGAATGTAGTCTCTACACTAGTGTGTCACTGTTATTTACACATATTACTTGTGTATCCATGTTTTTTACTTACTGCTGAAGGCAACACTGAAGCGGGATCTGGGGTTTGTTACTTTGAAACCACAAAGAGTTCCCCCGCTCTAAAATAGTGATAGAACCATCACTAGGATAATCAAACCTCAAACAACAAGTCCACATCATGTATGTTTGTCCTCTATCACATAATCAGCTTTTTCTGGCAGAAAGTGACTCATGGGGTTTTTTCTTACACAAAAGAAAACATGGTTTACAATAAGATATTGGAGAAATATTGGAGAAAAAGCCCCCACTGAAAGATCAAGGCTATGCTCACACTCAGAGAGCAGCCGTCCTCCTGTGGACTCACCACCTGCAGAGGGTCAGTGAGGGGCTGGTGCTATGAGACTTGGGTGGCATCTCTGACTGCCACCCCGCTGACCCAGAAATGGATTAAAGGGTAGAAAATGGATGGATGGAGAATACAGTGAGGTACCCAACCTTTTATACCCAGCTCCATGAAATAAAATTGTGACCTGTGCTCTTTTTGCAGCTGTCAGAAAAAGGACATCTTCTGGTCTGAAATACAAAAACCGGACTCGGACCAGATCCCTTTCTACCTCATGTTCCAAACAAGGTGGAGGCCACAGGGTACCAAAGAGACTGAAGTCCTCCCAGCCCTCTCTGAGCCGTGTGCAGCTGCGCAACCGGAGGAGAGACCCGCGGGCGCTCAGGGACGCAAAGGGCGCGCAGTGCAAGACCATGTCAGTGAAGAAGGAGAAGGACAGCGCAGACATCACGCCGCAGGGATGCCTCACACGTCACGCCGCCAAGGAGAACGGCCACGAGGGCCATTCCACATACAGAACTCGCAGATCTACTCGAACACTGAAGCAGCCTGACAGTCAGCAGGAGGCCACTCGCTCTGTCCCCGGTGGAGTGGTGATCAAGAGTGAACCGTCAGACATGGAGGAGTATCTGCACCACCACCACCAGGGAGTGAGCTTGCCTCCGGTCAGCACAGGCTGTAACCGCAGCAGGTGCATGCGTCAGAAACGGACCACTTTGCCCAAACTGGAGCGGACGATAAAGTGCGAGAGCTACACAGAGACGATAGAGCGGAGTAACTCTGGCTTTTCAGATTGTGATAACGTTTTGCTCAGCTATGCGGACTCTCACCGGGAATACAACGGCGTGTCCAAGTCCCTGCGTAGGGAGAAGAGGAAGTCAGGATCTCCGGAGAAGAGCAAGAAGAAGCGGCGCATCACGCGCTACGACGCGCAGCTCATTCTGGAGAACAGCACAGGACTGCCTAAGCTAACGTTACGCAGGCGCAGGGACAGCAACAGCAGCAAAACCAACGAATCCAAAGACAGCAGCTCAGCTGCCGCCTCCTCCTCCAAAATCAGCATCAAACTGAGTAAGGAGCAGCACAACAAGGACAAGAGCGCATCATACGTGTCCCGCTTAAACAACGGCTTCGCTAACTCCACCAAACTAAAGATCCAGCTGAAGGGAGGGGAGGAGGCGCGCAGGCCGGCACACTGCTCCAGACCTGAGTCCTACAACGGGGACATGTCCCAGAGTGTGGAACCGCGCAAGAGCATACACCGCCCCCTGAAGGTCATGGAGGAACCTTCATCGGATGAGGACACAGAGTTTGAGGATGACTTCATTCCACTCCCTCCCGCTAAGCGCCTGCGTCTGATTGTTGGCAAAGACTCCATGACCATCGATATATCCTCCACGAGGAGAGAGGAGCAGTCACTGCGGCTCAATGCATGAGCTCTGCACAGTGGGAGGGGTGGGAATGACTTCAGCGCACAGGCACGCATAGGGTCACTCGGCCGGGTTTAAATGTTTCACCCCAGAGTCTCATACGCCTCTTATAAACGTGTGTTTAACTCCACATATAACCGTCTTCAGTCATTTCTCCGCCACAACAGTTGTCTTGGAGATTTGAAAATTATAACTAAGTCTTGTTTATCTCTTGAATTATACAAATAAATGAACACTGAACCCAGTTCAACCCTGTTTCAAGCTCGCGTAGGAATACAATCATGTGAAAAAGTGGTTAGGGTTATAAGGTCACAGGGTCATAGAGCTTCAGTTTCTATCTCACGGTCTTTGTTTTTCTACACATTTATAAAATAAGTATTGAAAGAGAAACACAAATCACTGTCTGTAAACCACTGTGAAAGTGATTTTTATTTTCATAGTGAAACTAAAACAGATTCTGAACTTTAGAAACCACAAACCTTTCAAGACATCTCAAAAAATCAAATTAGGAACAAATATCTGAAGCTAAAATCACTGAGATGTAGACATTGGGTCAGGGTTTCTAATGTCAGTATTGACAGTTCACAATTTTAGGATTATTTTCATATATTTTTTTCAATTTTTTACTTTTGTTTAAACTTTTTGTTGAATTAAAATATTGAAACGAGTCAAATCTGGTGAAGTGGCGTCTGTTGTGTGGAATTTTGATAATTGTTTTCTTACACACAGGCTCTGTGTAAAACACAACTGATTGAGTTGTGAACTTGTCAGAACCTGTTGGAGTTGAAGTCATTCCCATCTGTCAAAGTCTGTGTTTCTGTAAATAAATATCACACTATGGTGATGTAAAAGAAGTAATTTAAACAACTTCCTGGAAAATCACTGTTGCTAATGGGAGGGGTCGACTTGAAACAAATTCTATTAAAGTATTTTTGTTCTGCATTTTCTGAAGGCAATTGGGATATTTGCGATCAGGCTCTGTGTGGAACATGTTTAAATGAAATCATTGCTCCTGTTGGACTGTATACTGATGGACAATTCTAACACACGAGCTCAATGCAGCCCAATAGTGAAGTGCTCATGGTGAATTTTAGCTTCAACTAGCTCTGTCTCCTATGACTTAATGTAAAAGTAGAAGATACCAAACACAAGCTAGCTGGAGCCAGTTTCCTTATATGGACATTTGTTCCGCAACGTTGGCTTTGCGCCGTAACCAAGGCAGATGTGTTGCTAAGACGGTTCCTTTGACAAGCTGGAGTTTCCCTCGTAGGAGAAATTCAGGTGTCCATCCATAAAAACAAATAAATACATTATTATAAAAGTGACTAACAATAGTTATACAGTGCAACAGCAGCTGCTGGGTGGAGCAGAACAGGTCATAGCAGCAGAGGTGGAACAACCGCTGGTGATGAGCTGCTTCCGATCTGCTGGCTAATGTAAGCATAGTTTGTTTGTTCGGACCATTTTTCTCCTCCCGTTTTTAGTGAAATCCTGAATGCTTTATTTGCATTTTTCTTAAAAAAAATAGCATTCCTCCAGTTGATTTATGCTTGATCTGTGTGGTTTGGGCGATGAATTCTTTCTGCTCTGGTCTGGATCAGTGGAAAACCATGAACACTACTCCAGTAAAATGTACAGCTGGGAAAAACGCTAGATCTGGATTTACAAAGATAATACCCCCATGCAAACACCAGGATCACAGAGAGCACAAAACCACAGATTTAAGATCAAAATGTTTAGTGTGACACAAAAGGTTACTGAGCTTGGAGTTTACTGTTGTATGTAATTAGGAGCCAGAGCGAATTGGAGCCAAACTTCACTATGAGCACTTCCCTATTGGGCCCCATTGACCTAGCGGGTTTGCATCGTCTATCTGTATGCAGTTTGACTAGAATCCATTTTTTGCCTTTTATTCACACATTGCTTCTACTGGTGTAAAAATATTTATTACCGAACAATGCAATGATTGGAGTTTTCCATCTTTAGTTTCTAGGTGAATTGAGCAAAGCACTGGATCATGTGAGTGCAAAATGTTAGTGTTAATCTTGAATTTTATAATTTGATAGACTTTCTGCTGAATTCATTAAAATGGAAATAAAACTTATAAAAGACCTATGAGTCCGTTTAAGGCCATGGCGATACTTGACTCAAAACACAACTATATAAGTGGAAGTTGGATAAAATAGCTCCACACATTTTAAGAGGGCCCCTAAAAATAACAGTGGCGCTGGGGTACGTAACTTTCAAAACACAGCATAACTCTGGTCGATGACAGTTTTCTTCTATCACTAGTTTTCAAATCGTGTATTTTTGTCCTCTCACATTTTTAGATCAGCATTTTCAGACAGAAAAGTTAAAAAGAGAGGACCGCCCTCTGTTGGCCAATCGGCTCTCAGCCCAAAGAGTCAATTAGTGACTCACAGTGCTTTCTTCCAAAAAAAAAAATAAAAAATTCTGATCATATGAAGACACCATGTTGTTTGAGATTTGCGTACCTCACCTTAAGCTGCTTCTCTAACAGTTTCCACAACCACAGTCTGATTTTAAAACTTGAACTTAACTGATAAACAGCTCCGAGCGCCTGGTGTCGCATGGAAATCAAACTGCTGCTGTTGCTGTCACGTCTCTCAGACTGAGGAGTGTGTATTAAAGCATTATATATAATGTTTACATACGGTATATGATATATATTCTGTATTCTCTTCTGTTGGCATATGGCCTGATGGTGAATATCCCACTGGCCTTTGTATAAAACACATCTCTTTACTTTAACTTTTGACCGAACGATCACTGAAATATAAATAATGTATTCACTTTCACAAATACCAAGTACATGTTTACCACATGGTTTAAAACAGTGAGTCGGCTTTAAGTTCATTCCTGTTTATAAAACACAGATGCCTGTAAACAACTTAAAGGACACATATGATGGTCAACCCACAGCCCATCAGTCACAGACCTGGAGCTGTGTTTAGTTCCATCCACACTAATGTCAGGAGCACAAACATGTAGCTCCCCCCCTTCTGTCTGAAAACTCCTGTCTCAGTCCTGTAACAGTATGATGTCATTGTACCACACACAGTTTTTTGCCTTTAAAAACAAGTATTTCCCATAAATTAGTTTTGGTCAGTTCTCAGGTGAAATTAGGTTCTTCCCAATCACATGTTTTGTGTTTGCAACTCGTTCTGGTGGCAGTACAGGGAGTTACAGGGAGCTCTGACTGCAGAAGCTGCACCCTCCGGTGACAGCATAGGGAGGCATTTAGGCTAACACTATGGTGATGTCACACTCAGTCAGTCCACTCCTCATATATGCTCTATGAGTAAAACACAATTCTAAAGCACCCTAGGACTCAGGCTGCCAATCCAGAACTGTGAAAAGCCGGCTCGCAGTTTGTTCTGGTCTTTGTGAAAGCTTGCCTCTGCCTTTAACTCAGATGCACCTCACATTAAACTTTAGTGTTGTAGAAATGTACAGTTTTGTGAATATCTTTGTCTCAATCTTTGATTTTGTTAAATTCATGTCTAGTTTTTCCCCCTTAAACAATAAATGGTGAAAGCTGCGTTTGACAGAAGTGAAGTTTAGAGTTGTCTGTTTGAACGAACGTGACCCTAACCTCACAGGTTCTGGGCTGGACGTTGGGGTATGTAACTTTCAGACCACAATATTAATAAACCCATGTCTCTAGTTTCTGGCTCTGAAACAGTTTAGTTCTATCACTAGTTTTCTCACTAGCTAAATGAAGTCCACTTGTTCACGGTGGTGAAGGCTCTAACTCGCTCTGGCTTGACTTGCATGCTAAAGAAACCTTCCCAAGCTCAAGCATGCATACCACATGAAACCCGTGCAGAGGCATGCGGCCCCGCTATTATGGGCGGGTCCCAGCTCCAAAAGGTCCATGAGCATGTCCGCTGACATGCTTGAAATCTCACTCCTAGCCAGTGGGGGTGGATCGGAATAAAAAATACCCATTGCTTTTGTATGGCGTCTTCTTTCCTCTCGAAAACGGCTTTACAGGATGGACCAAAAGTCGGCTCTTGGCCAGATGTATGTCAATACATAGATAAATAGATACTTTATTGATCCTCCGTAGGAGAAATTCAGGTGTCCAGCAGCAGAAAACACATATATACAACAATTATAAACAATATGAGGGGAGTACTTTTTGTTTTGGACCACTCTAGTTTAGCCACTGTGGACTTTAGATTGCACTTGTTGAATAAATGGGGCTAGTGCCGGCTAACGCATGTGCAAATGCGTTTTTTCACGATTTGCTTCCCCATAGAAGGCAAAAGCAAGGACATGGCACATTAGTTTTCAACAGCAGAGATAGACGTGGCTACGTCCGTTAATATCTATGGGCGGGCCCTTATTCCTCCACGATTATCACAAATTACCACATGTAATACTAATCCCGCCCGAATAGGGCGACTGTAAATTAGCATAGATTTTGCTAATTGCTTTGCAGTGTCTCGCAGCGTGGACCACTACCCAGCCTCAGTATGGTTTGCATCAGTTTTTTTAGACAGAGAAGTAGAGGAGAGTACTCTCTTTCTTACACATGTCTTCTCATAAGATGAAGACAGTAGTTGTTTCTGATTTATTTACGCTCACATGAGTCTGTTGAACAAAGTGAGATTTTCCAGCTGTAATTGTTGTTTTACTTTACTCCACTTGTCACTGGTAACGGCATAACCAATCAGCGGCGTCCTCTGGCAGAGCCGCAGCCAATCAGCACGGAGGAGGTAGTATTTAAACTTTGGCTGTAGGTGTGCGGTTTATTCTCTTTCAGACTGAAATCTGCTCTATTCCTCGAATTCTCGCCTCATTTGGTTTACAATGGCGTCTTTGGAGTCCCGCGCTCACGTGAGTAATTTATTTAACGCTAAATACATATTTAATTTGTACAGTTGAATCTGCTGCCTAGGTTAGCTCTGCTGCTAACGCCACCATTGTCAGCTCATGCTACCCATAGATACTGTCAGGGATGAGGCAGAGAGAGACGGATCGTGGTGCGCCAAACTCTGGAAGTTTATTTAAGTTTCTCTCAAGTTCCACTGGTTTACTTTGTTTCCTTCTCTCAGACAGAATAAAGGCAGTACACAGTTTATATAGTCATTGTCACGTCACACATCGAAAGACATACGTGTCACAAAGAGACAGTCACATCATAGTCATAACATGGAGTCCTTGTAGAGTCCTTATACAGTCCTGCACGTAGGCCATATTGCTATCTAATACTAACAATACTAACAATGCATTCTAAGGGCTATAACGTTTTATGGTCATAAGTGTTCAGTGTGTTATAGAATTGTTAATTTTTTTCAGCAGGTGCTGACAATGTGCTCTTTAGAGTGGTGTGATGTCACGTGAACACAGCCTCTAGACCAGGGGTGGGCAATTTTCTTTCAGTGGGCATATAGGATTACCATATTGTTAAAGGCCAGACCAGCAATTTAGCAAAAAGCTACTTCAAATTATTACTGACGTTTTGGATTCATTAAATGGAACAGAATAAAAGTAGTATGGGGACATGGTAGCACATTGAGTTCTGGTGGCCACATAGAAATGTGAACTGGGCTGCACTTTACCCAGGTGACAGGTCTGCTCAAGACACACATGGGGTCTGATGTTTGCAGCCTGGAGCCACAGAGAACCTGGGCCGGATGGGAAAAGCCACTGTGTGGTCGAGAGCTGCTCTGGGGGAACTCTCAAACTTAAACCCTGCAGCTGTCAACACAAAGGTAACAGACATTTGTCACAGTTGGACTTTGCTTCATGAGGACCATCTCCTCTTTCCACAGAGAGGAGCCTTCAAGACACAAGCCTGTCTAAAGACTAGGCTCCCAGAGAAGCAAGCAGAGGTCTTGGCCCCTGAATGCACCCTGGAGCAAGAGGAGACTGCACTGTGCCAGGCCTTCTCTGAGGCTCTGCTCACAGTGGAGGATATGGATGAAGAAGACTGTGATCTTCCTCAGCTCTGCTCACACTACGTCAAAGACATCTACAGATATCTGCACGAGCTGGAGCGGCAGCAGCCTGTGCGGCCGCACTACATGCAGGGCTACGAGATCACAGGCCGCATGAGGGCGTTGCTTGTGGACTGGCTAGTCCAGGTGCACTCTAGGTTCCAGCTGCTGCAGGAGACTCTGTACTTGACTGTGGCCGTGCTTCCTGCAGGTGTGCTAAGGCAGATGGCCTCCCTCAGTGTTGGAGAAGGGCTGTAGCGCATTCCCCCCCCCCCCCTGCCCATGGTCTTTGTCCTGAAGCCCATCATGCAACATATGGCCAAAAATGTGTGTTAGAAATGCCCAAATACAGGCGAGTTTCCCATAGATCTTCGCAAGTTCTAGGCGCCTTCCGCAATTTTTTTTTTTTTTTTTGGACCACTAGTTGCTGTGAATTTTTGAAGTCACTCGTTCAAATGAATGGAGCTTGCGCCGGCTGATGCAGATCAGAGCAAGATGGCGCCGGGTCAGGGCGCCTCAGTAAGAGCTCTGGTGTGCAGATGCGTATTTCGCATTTTTCTTGTGGGCGGGACCAGGGCTGGACTGGCCATCGGGCGTACCGGGCAATGCCCGAAGGGCCGATGCCCATATTTGGGCCGGTCTGTCTGCCTCATACAAAAAACATGTTTGTGAAAAGTGTAAATCCGTTGAGAAATGTTTGAGGGGAGCGCGCGTGTCCGCGGGGCACCTGCTGTATGTACTGGAACGGGATTCCACCACCTCAGCGGCCGCAGTGTTCCCGCATCCAGCGGCTCTGAGCTGGACGCGGGAACCGCTCACCGGGAACCGCTCACAACACAACACGGCGAGCGCGTAGCCGCAACGTGACCATGTACCCAAGACCATAAACACGCACAGGACCATGCATGTCTTTTCGTAATTTGTGCACCCAATAAATACACCGCTGCAGAAAACAGTCCGCGTCTCCCCTCTCCTCTAAATTAAAGCTCCGGTACCTAAATTTTCCATTGCATTAAAAGTTCATGTTTGAGCCCAAAAGTAAAATGTTGTGAACAGATTAAACAGATTTAGAGCCAGCTAATGGCTGAAAATATGCATTTCAGAAATGTTTACCAATTCTCATCCCTGTAACAAACAATAGTGTTGTCTGTGCCCACCTCCCTCACTCTGAGACATGTTTATTACTCTGTTTAATGTAGACTATTGCACTTTATTTTTTTGTTGAAACTGCAGACATCCTGATCCTCTACACTATTTGCTTCCACATATTGTATAAACCAGGGGTCGGCAACCTTTAGTGCCCCTAAAGTGGCTCCTGGAGCCTTTTCAAAAATGTCTGAAAATGGAGTGGGAGGGCTATATTTTATTTCTAGTTTCAATGTGGTTTCTGTAGGAGGAAAAACATTCTTAACGTTTTTAAATGCTGCAAAAACTTGTATTGTAGTAATAATATGAATATGTAGTAATATTCAATTTTAACTGTGTGTGCGCATGGATCCCAAAGATAAAGAGAGAGAGTCGATAAGAATGGAGTAAGAATGAGAATGAACATTTGCTTTCAGTCAATGAGGAAGGACTGCTTCATGTTTGCGATGTAATGAAAAGTTTTATTGCAACAGGAGGAACAATGAAGCTTTAAACACTGTTCACTGAAAGATTCATTCATCATAAATTCAGAGCACCTATTTTCAGACTTCAAATCCCTTCACAAAGACGGTGAAAGAAAAGGCCATTAAGGACATTCAGATGATGGATATGAACAGACAGTGATGCAGGTGAACTCGGAGCCAAAAAGCAGATTTATTTACTGTATTTGTACAACTGCATGAAGGCAAAAAAATGGAGGTTAAACTTAAAGCAGAGTTGTCATGTGGTGCGTCATTCTCTCCAGGACACGCTGCAATGAAAATACACATTTGATAATCATGAATGGTTTTTATGTGTTTGTAGCCTTTACTTTGTCATTTAGATATTAGGCTAATGTAGCTAATGTAGCTAATGTAGCTAATACAGCTTCAGCCCCTGTTACCTTCATATAAGCCTTATACAACGCTGTTTTTTTTTTTTGCGGCTCCAGACAGATGTTGTTTTTAGGTTTTTGGCAAATATGGGTCCTTGAACCTTTTGAGTTGCCTGGGCCGCTAAGAAGGAAAAAATGCCCGGGCCGTTTTTTTGTCCCAGTCCAGCCCTGGGCGGGACTACTCGTGGCCATTTTGGATAGATATATATATATATATATATATATATATATATATGTGCTGTATTATGTTCCATCCATTTTCTTCCGCTTCATCCGTCGCAGTCTAAGCAGAGACGCCCAGACTTCCCTATCCACACACTTCCTCCAGCTCGTCCGGGGGGACCCCAAGGCGTTCCCAGGCCAGATGAGAGACATAGTCCCTCCAGCGTGTCCTGGGTCTTCCCCGGTGGGACGTGCCCGGAACACCTCCCCAGGGAGGCGTCCAGGAGGCATCCGGAACAGATGCCCGAGCCACCTCAACTGGTTCCTCTCGACGTTGAGTAGCAGCGGCTCTACTCCGAGCTCCTCCCGTGTGACTGAGCTCCTCACCCCATCTCTAAGGGAGCGCCCAGCCACTCTGCGGAGGAAGCTCATTTCAACAACTTGTATCCGCGATCTCGTTCTTTCGGTCATTACCCAAAGCTCATTGACCATAGGTGAGGGAGAGAACGAAGATTGACCGGTAAATTGAGAGCTTTGCCTTTCGGCTCAACTCCCTCTTTACCACAACGGTCCGATACAGCGACTGCATCACTGCGCACGCTGCACCGATACGCCTGTCAATCTCACCCTCTATCCTTCCCTCACTCGTGAACAAGACCCCAAGATACTTGAACTCCTCCACTTGAGGAAGGACCTCTCCATCCATCCGGAGAGGGCAAGGCACCCTTTTCCGGTCGAGCACCATGACCTCAGATTTGGAGGTGCTGATTCTCATCCCAGCGGCTTCACACTCGGCTGCAAACCGTCCCAGTGCATGTTGCAGGTCCTGGTTCGTTGGAGCCAACAGGGCAACATCCTCCGCAAACAGCAGAGATGAAATCCTGTGGTCGCCATACCGGACCCCGTCCGGCCCCTGGGTGCGCCTAGAAATTCTGTCCATGAATACAGTGAACAGAACCGGTGACAAAGGGCAGCCCTGGTGGAGGCCAACATGCACCGGGAACAGGTCCGACTTACTGCCGGCAATGTGAACACAGCTCTGACTCCGGTCATACAGGGATCGGCAGCTCGTAGCCTCAAGCTACGAGCTGCCGCATCGGCGATAGAGGAAGAGAACATGGTCCACTCAGACTCGCTATTCCCCCTCCTCCGCCGGGACCTGGGAGAAGCTCTCCCGGAGGTGTGAGTTGAAAGTCTGTCTGACAGGGGGCTCAGCGAGACGTTCCCAGCAGACCCTCACTACACGCTTGGGTCTACCAGGTCTGACCGGCTTCCTCCCCCGTCAGCGGATCCAACTCACGACCAGGTGGTGATCGGTTGACAGCTCCGCCCCTCTCTTCACCCGAGTGTCCGAGACACGCGGCCGAAGGTCAGATGATACGACAACAAAGTCGATCATCGACCTCCGGCCTAGGGTGTCCTGGTGCCACGTGCACTGGTGGACACCCTTGTGCTCGAACATGGTGTTCGTGATGGACAAACTGTGACTAGCACAGAAGTCCAACAACTGAACACCGCTCGGGTTCAGATCAGGGGGGACCGTTCTTCCCGATCACCCCTCTCCAAGTGTCACTGGCATTTCCCACATGGGCGTTGAAGTCCCCCAGGAGAATAACGTAGACCCCGGTCGGTGCACCGTCCAGTACCCCTCCCAAGGACTCCTATAAGGCCGGGTACTCTGCACTGCCGTTGGGCCCGTAGGCCGTCACAACAGTGAGAGACTTGTCCCCCACCCAAAGGCGGAGGGACGCGACCCTCTCATTCACCGGGGAAAACTCCAACACGTGGCGGCTGAGATGGGGGGCAATGAGTATGGCCACCCCCGCTCGCCGCCTCTCCTCGTGAGAAACACCAGAAAAGTGGAGCGTCTAATCCCTCTCAAGGAGTTGGATTCCAGAGCCCAAACTGTGTGGAGGTGGAGGTGAGGCTGACTATCTCTAGTCTGTATCTCTTTAACCTCCCTCACAAGCTCGGGCTCCATGAATCTCTTTATTCAAGGCTAGGTTTAAAACAGTCCTCTTTATTTTAGCATATGGCTAGGAAGGTAAGACTCAGGGAAGGCTAAACTCCTCAGACTGTCAGTCAAGCTGCATTTGCTGGGAGAAGTATGGTAACTTGAGCACTATCCTCTCCTCCTTCCTACTTTATCTGTTTAGCATTTTTAGGATTTTGACTGTAGTGTGTTCATTGCTATTCACCCGTTGTCCCATTGTCTGTTTCATGGTATGATGACGGGATCTCTGAGCCTGGCCTCCTCCATCTACACCTGCGGACTGCCCTGCCCGACCCACCTGGGAGTGCTTGAGTCCTGCACCGGACCTCTCCACGTTCAGCAGCCACTGGTCCACGTTCAGCAGCCACTGGTCCACGTCCTGTAGCTAGCTTAGGTCCTAGATCATTAGCCTGTCCGTCCCAAGGTTTCTCACTTTTTCCCACTGGGTTTTTAAAGAGTTTTTCCTTGTCAATGCATGTGTCCAACAGAAAGGATTGCTGATGATCAGGACACTTTAGCATTCTACAACATGTATGGACATTTTCTTTTGTGTGTGCTTTATATTTTTCATGTGTTTTAACTGTTGATTCTCTGACCTGTGTTGGTGATTTCAATGGTTTTGTTAAGTCCTCTGAGATGACTTCTGTTGTGACCTAGGGCTATACAAGAATAAATTCTATTGTCTATAGTCCTGACGCGAGATATAGATCATGGTGGGGTGAGGAGCTCCGTTTGTATCGTAAGTAGTGACCCAGAAAAGCGGTTTTCTTGTTGGCCATAGTGCGTGTCCTTTTACTGGCCTGGTTTGTGCTAGTTTTACAATTAAAAAAAAAAAAAAAACATTCCTACTCTGGCAAAATTAAAAGCTGCATTTGTGTGCGCATTAGAAAAACTAATGGAAACACGCAAATTTCAAATAAATGACAGTTCATGCTGAAGACACGTGGACACACTTTCCTTTCAACTCTCATCCAGGTCTCTGCCTGATGCCTTCACCCACACTGCCTCCAGAAAACCTCTCACCTCCCCGGTCTGCACATCCATTCACTTCTGTAATGGGGGGTGTGGAGGTGGCATTGTCGC